CAATTCATGCGTTTCGTCATTTCGTCAAGATAAGTGATTTTCATTGTCGTTGCGATTATTTTACGCGACTGTGTCTCTATAGTTGGGTCATAATTGTGGATGATTTTCAATAAATATTAACACGCTCAAAGGGGATAACTAAAAATCTTATTACAGATATTCCATATAATTAAATAAATAATGAATATTGTACAATATTTATTTATTACATTAGTTGAACTTTTTCAATAAACGAGTTAACTTAATAAGTAAGTTACGAACTGGATTGGATATCAATTGATAAATAATTAACAAATTGACATTTTTCGAATTGTCCAAAGTGTCAATATCTTGAAGAAAGTACCAAATCAATCAATCTAAAAAATTAATGAATTGATATACCAGATAACTTAAAATATCACTCGAAAGTGATCAGTATAAATCGAAGGAAGTATATTGAATTGGAACACAAATATCGATAAATATATAAAGCATTAATATCGATTAACCAAAGTGTTGATGTCACGTAACAAGAAAGTATCAAATACACATACGATTGATCATTCGACGAAAAATCATGCCGTGGACTGAATTCTTCCTTGAAGAAGGGAAGAACAACGGTGACCAAGACGCGTTGATAATTGCCGGTATCGGTTAACCCTCGAGGGGGAGAGGGAGGGGCGGGGGGGGTATCGAGTCTCGAGCAGCCCTCGTCAAGGTCTATGGGTTCGATTCGGTGTCAGCCCCCTACGGTGTGATCCCTTTTGCCCTTCATCCGGCAACCTTCGCGCGCCCCTTCGCTTCCGGCACCGGTAACTACGACTGGTTCCACCCTCGTTCCCAGCCTCAAGGGGTGACTAAGGTTCAGAGGATCGTAACTGTCTCTTGCCTCTAAAAAATGGAAAGAATACATTAAAGAAAATTCGGGGACACCGCTCCGATGACCCCCGGATATCCGTTTCCACGGAGACCCTCCAGTTACAAATCCGGCAGCTCGAGTGCGAATTTCTCGTGGATCCGACGAGTATTGCGTATCTCTTTAAGGAAAATCTCTCTTTTTCTCCCACCTCCTCTTGTTCGTTGATTGTTTATACTTGGATGGTACTGTTTTATTTTATACTTGAATGATATTGAATGATACTGATGTAAGAAATATATTTACATTATAGATACTTAATGATTCTGGAAAGTATTAAATGATATGGTAAGAAATAGTACTGGACGATGCTAATAATTTCAGAAAGATTTCACTACGTGAAGTATAATAGTCAGAAAAGTGCAAAAGCATTTCTCCACAATCATTGCAACAGCTACTCGAAAGACGATGAACAATTTGGAAACAAGTCTTTCAAGTTTATAATGCACTGGCGGTCGTTCTATAATCAGGAACACATACCAATCTTCGTCAAATTAAAACAGGAATACCGCATGATAGCCAGAATTACAGGAGGAACCTGGCGGAATCCAAACAACGATGATCGATCGCCGTCTACCATTCAGTGGCACGTTCGGGTCGATCGCGCTCCACTGAATTCCGGCTAGGATCGAAGTGGTAGTAGGGTGAGGTACTGTCTTTCTGTTCTCCTACGGCTCATTGCTGGCCCCGTGACTAATCATGATAGTTCCGCCCGGGAACGCCGGGGACACACGACTCTCGGTTCCGTTTCCGGCGCGTGCTACCGCCGCCCTGGCCTTCCCCCCTCTCCTCCTTACCCCCTGCGGCTCACAGGCCACCCTACCGCGCAATTATTGCGCTTTGCAACAAAGGCCGTGACGCGGGATCGAAGGGCTGCTGCCTTATCTTCCTGGTACATCTTCCTCTTCTTGCCGGTCCGTTTCTGCTACTCTTCTGTTTCTTTCTTCTCCCGTCGTCATCCTCTAACCCAGGTTATATCGTTCTCCATTATCGGTGTCCTCCTCTGCTTCCTACCGCGGTTTCTCTCTCTCTTTTTTTTTTTGCACGCTCGGTACTTGGATATTTTCTTTTCTTTTTTGGTCTTAAAAGTTGATTGGGTAGCTTTTCTGACGGTGGTTTTGTTTTCTTTTCTCTTTCTCGTGCAACTGCTTGGTTCATGGGTTCATTGGCTTAGGTTAGGTTAGGTTGTTTCGAGTTTTGTGGTTTTGAGATTTTAGTGAAAGTATTAGGTTAGGTTATTTTGAGTTTTATCGTGTTGAAATTTTAGTGAAAGTATTAGGTTAGGTTGTTTTGAATTTTGTGGTTTTGAGATTTTTGTGAAAGTATTAGGTTAAGTCGTTTTGAGTTTTGTCGTGTTGAGATTTTAGTGAAAGTATTAGGTTAAGTCGTTTTGAGTTTTGTCGTGTTGAGATTTTAGTGAAAGTATTAGGTTAAGTCGTTTTGAGTTTTGTCGTGTTGAAATTTTAGTGAAAGTATTAGGTTAGGTTGTTTTGAGTTTCGTGGTTTTGAGATTTTAGTGAAAGTATTAGGTTAGGTCATTTTGAGTTTCGTAGTTTTGAGATTTTAGTGAAAGTATTAGTTTAGGTCATTTCGAGTTTTGTGATTTTGAGATTTTAGTGAAAGTATTAGGTTAGGTTGTTTTGAAATTTTAGTGAAAGTATTAGGTTAGGTTGTTTTGAGTTTTGTCGTGTTGAGATTTTAGTGAAAGTATTAGGTTAGGTTATTTTGAGTTTTATCGTGTT